ATCCATCATCTACCAACCTGTTGGTTCAGGAGCATCCCTCAAGAAATCCACAAAGTAAGGCTCAGGATCCACTAAACCCAAAGCTTCGCTGCCAAAATCTTCCTCCAAGACTTGATTGAGAGCCTTATCAAACCAGTCCTTRTCAGGTTGGTTAGTGAAGCGATCAGCGATGACACGACTACATTCATGTTTCCACAGATTCAACATGACTCTCTTGTCTGTCAGGATCTCTGACGTCACGTTCAGCATTCCCTAAGAATAGAACAACAGTCTATGGTTCAAGATGATCATTCAAGATGATGATGATGATGATGGTGATGATGATGGTGGTGATGATGATGATGATGATGATGTTGGTGATGATGATGATGAAGGTGATGATGATGGTGGTCAGTATCTTCATTCACAGCGTGAATGACAGCGTGAGTGATTCATGATTTCTATCGTTACCTGCCAGATTCTGCTCAAGTCCCTAAGATTAAAGATGTAATGGAACTTAGCCGGTGTGGGTAACATCTTGACCTTGACCTTCTGCCACAGTACCCTAGTACTTTTGACCAGWGGTTCAATCAGTTGTCTAATCTCGTCAGAGAATCCGCGTTGTTTGTTGAAGTATCCGATGCCAACAGTAGTGAAGATTTTGTCGATGGAYGTATTKGAGGGTAAAGTACAGTTAAAGACAGTRAAYTGGCGTTTAAGACGGCTGGGGATATCGTTYCTGCCGCCACCTGGCTGGATCATTGCAGAAATAAACTGAATGTCTACRATGTTGGTAAACTCTCCTGGTTTATCGAGACTGTAGAAKCCTCTCATCTCCATCAACTGACGGACGATCTCGTTCGTAATCTGGTAATATAATACAAAGATATTAGTACTATGACAAGTATATACACCTTCTCTGAGATATACGACGCAGTGCATTCTGGCCCAGCTTGGGTACAAGCACCYTAATTTTCCATTGCGCCTAAAATAGGTGCAACTCAGAAAAGAGCATATRGCAGTTTTTGTCTCTAGAAGCCCAACATATATAATTATGTATCTGACCTGATCACCCCATTCGTTGATGACTGGCATGTTGATGTCATCGAYAAATGTTGTCATCTTCTTTCCAGCAGGGGGGCCATAAGTCGTGCCCATTCTCTTGTCCACGTAGCTCTCAATGGTACGCTGCAGGACAA